ATCCACTAGATAGTGTCTACTCGATCCTTAAAGCTCTTCTACCCCGTTTAAGGCCCGAGTATGCAGCATATGCGCATGGATCTTTAGGGACACAGACACATGTAGAGAAACACCTCCTGGACCCCTAAGCCCTAAACCCTAAACCAAAGGGCCATCTAAAAAGTTCTATATTTAGGGCTTGCATCCGCAACCCCTAAACCCTAAACCCTAAACGGCCCTTACTATAAATAGCGTATAATAAGGGTTCTATAACAAGGGACCCAAACGAAGGGCCCATGCTTGGGAATCCTAGGTTTCGGAGCTCTACTGCCCTAACACCCTACATCCTAGGCCCGAAGACCCTAGGGTTGTAGGGTTTAGGGTTTAGGGTTTAAACCTGAGACCCAACATTCATATAAGGGGGGTTAAATGGGCCCTTCATACGGTCCCTTATGTTCTTCAAAGGGTTCTGAAGTATGGGCCCTCGCGGGTTTTATAGGGTATAGAAGGGTGTATATGGGTTCTCCGATTAAGCGGCCATGTTAAGGGACCATGTAACTGCCCACAAACCTGAGTCTAAGCCCTGAACCCGAAACTCTAAAACCCTGAATTCTAAACCTGAAGCTCTAACACCTAAACCTTAAAGCCTTGACTCTAAACCCTCAACCCTCAACTCTAAACCCTAAACCCCAAGCCCGAAATCCTAAACCCTAAACCCTAGCCCCACACCCTAAACCCGAAGAATTCAGGTGGGACGCGCGGAACTCGGCGAGCCCTGTGGTGCTACCACCGAAGGATGGCTGGGAGAGGGTTTAGGGTTTAGGGTTTAGGGTTTAGGGTTTAGGGTTTAGGGTTTAGGGTTTAGGGTTTAGGGTTTAGGGTTTAGGGTTTAGGGTTTAGGGTTTAGGGTTTAGGGTTTAGGGTTTAGGGTTTAAAAGGGTTTAGGGTTTTTTTTTAGGGTTTAGGGTTTAGGTTTTAGGGGTCTCGGGTTTAGGTTTTTTTTTGGGGGGGAGGGGGGTTCAAGTTTGAAAGGTTGGGGTTTAGGAGCTTCCAGTCTGAAACTTTAGGGCTTACGGGTTTCCAGGTTCGGGTTTCGGGTGGTAGGGGTAAGAGTTTAGGCTCCCGGATTGTGGGGTTCGGGGGCCCTAGGCTTAAGGGTTTGGGGGTTTAGGAGTTTAAGCTTTATGGTTTAGGTTTTATGTCCTTGGAGCTGTCGGTCGGTGAAACCTCATGGGGTAGTTACTTAAGAGTACCTTCTCCAATCCTCTTACCAAAGCCTTCATGGTCCCTGAATGTAGTCGTTTAAGGCGCACGGTCTCAGCGTTTCGAATCTGACTTGCGAGTTTTTTCTAAACTGGCCTTGTGAAAGTCTCTGATATAGACGTTTGAGAAGAAACTTCCTTTCAGAAGAACCGCTGCATCCATGCAAGATGTTCGCTCGACAGGTGGTGAGTGGCGGATGTGGTACTATGGTCGAGCAGGCCGATGCCGAAACCAAGATGGCTTAGGGTTCTCGGGAGAAGGCGTTGAAGACCCTAAACAACCCTAAACCCTGAACCCTAAACCCTAAACCCCGGAAGCGTGCCCTAATTTCACGGAGGGTTCAGGGCTGGACATCTGGCTTAGGGTTTAAATGATACCGTGCCCATGAGCGAGGCTTGCTGAAGGGTCTTGAAGCGGTCGCACGCCGGGTTTCGGGTTTAGGGTTTAGGGTTTAGGGGTGCAGGGTAACTCAATCGTCAAATGCGTACCCTCGAAGCAGAGGCTATCCCGAAACAATCCCAACGGATTACCTTCAATTCCCGTTCCCACGGTTACGTAAAGGATTTCGATACCCTCTTTTTGGCGCTCTCACTGCGCCGGGCGCTGCACTCTGTTCTTACCAAGCCCTGTAATTAACCCTTGCATAAAGCCTACAAAACCCAGAAACCCCTTTAAACATGGACCCGTCTAAACCCCACAAACGGTTCGTTGTCGTGGGACGCTCAATATTTTAACCCCTAAGTCCTAACCCTGGAACCTACATCCTAGGCCCCCCTACATCCTAAACCCTAAACCCTAAACCCTAAACCCTAAACCCTGAACCCTGAACCCTGAACCCTGAACCCTAAACCCTAAACCCTAACCCTGAACCTTAAACCCTGAGCCCTGAGCTTACTGAAAGCCGCAGAGTCAAGGCACCACCTGGGCAAGAGGAGTCGACGCCTTCCTCCCAACAGGTCGGCCACCTTGGTTCAGGGTTCAGGGTTCAGGGTTTAGGGTTTAGGGTTTAGGGTTTAGGGTTTAGGGTTTAGGGTAAATGCTCATACTGTACATGTTACGTCTCGCCAAGTCCAAGGAGTGTGCACCCTAAACCCTAAACCCTAAACCCTAAAAACCACCCCCAAAGCCTAACTCCCTACCCCAAGAAGCTCTCGAAGCCCTAGTAACACTACAAGAACCCGAAAGCCCTAGAAGCCCTGAGCATACATTCTGTGTTGAGGCTTTATAGGGGTTTAGGGTTTACGGTTCATGCTTCAAGCCCCTAAACCCTATAAACCTTAAACCTTCTAAACCCTAAGCCCCAAACCTTAAACCTTCTAAACCCAAAACCCAAATCGAGCTCCAAAGCCTCACACCCTCAGTCCCAACTACTCCCAACCCTATGAGCTTCCCCCTCCCCCGTGGGTTGAGGGTTTAGGGTTTAGAGTTTAAATTTTAGGGTTGAGGTTTAGGAGAAACCACCTAAACTTCAGCCCTTAAACCCTCAACGCTTCAGTTGCAGGCGCGCAGGGTCTGTAGGCTTCTAGATTCAATCTGCCGCCGGGGCCGCCGGGGAGGGGTGGGGGGGTAAGGCCCATGAGCGGAGAACAGTCCTTGACCCTCAAACCCTAACCCCTCAGCCCCAAACCCCTAACCTAAAACCTTAGCCCTAAACCCCAAACCCTAAGCCCTAAATCCTAGAATGTGCCCTTTGTTTTCCTGAGCGTGAAGCGGTTTTGGAGTGGCACTATACTAAGGGATCTAGGTGCAAGCCGCTTGGCAACCCAACAGCCCCAAAAGACCCAACAGAAGGCGGAGCGCATAGGCCCTAAACCCTGAAGCCTAAAGCCCTCCAAGCGCGAAAGCCCCGCACGCCACAAAGTTTGGCACCCTCAATCCCTCCCGAAACCACGATAGTCCCTGCCTAGCGTAACTTCTGTACCTTTAAACCCTAAACCTTGAACCCTAAACCCTAAACCCTAAACCCGAAACTTTGACCCTAAGCCTATGCCAGGAAGGATCGGGGCAGCGACGTCCGTTGATGGTGCAAGGCTCGGGGGTCCTCTGGTTTGAGGTTTGGGGTTTAGGGTTTAGGGTTTAGGGTTTAGAATCTAGGGTTTAGGGTTTAGGGTTTAGAATTTGGGGGTTTAGGGACCCGGGATGTGGCCACTTGCCTTCTTGCACTAGGGTCTATAAGGGGTACGATCAGGGTTCCCATACTTAGGGACCCTAATCCCTAAACCCTGAATCCTAAACCCCAGTGTCTGCGGTTGGTCTATGCAATGGCCTAAACCCGAGACCCGAAACCCTAAACCCTTGACCCTAAACCCTAAACCCTAAACCCTAAACCCTAAACCGCAACTTCCAAAGAGCCGGGCAGGTGGCGGCGGCTGAAGGGCCCTCTCGAGGTCGCAGTTACGGGGCTTAGGGTTTAGGGTTTAGGGTTTTGGGTTTTGGGTTTTGGGTTCAGGGTTTGGGGTTTAGGGCTTATGGGGTTTAGGGTTTAGGGTTTAGGGGTAGGGTTTAGGGCGTGGGGTTCTAGGGTCAGGGTTTTAGGGTTTTAGGGTATATATTGTTTACAGGGTTTTTTTAGGGTTTTTAGGGTTTAGAGGGTGTGTCAGGTGTGTCGGGTGTCGAGGGTTTAAGGTTTATAGGTTTGGGGTTCTAGGGTTAGGGTTTTCGGGTTTTCGGGTTTAGGGTTTAGGGTTTAGGGTTCCAGGGTCGCGGAGTGACAGCTGTTTTTGGGGGTCTTGCAGGTTTTGACAGGGTGTAAAATGTTGCACCCGGTTTAGTATCGGCCCCCGCTTTAAAGACAAACTGGCCGAATTATTCAGGACACCCTGAATGTTTGGGAGTCCCTCTTTAAAGACAAATCGTCCGGGCGCCGTAAGAAAACTCCACGTGCCGCACCTTTAAAAAAGATAGCCGGGCATCACTGCCCCTTTTGAACTTATCTAAGCTCCTCCCTATTAAAATCATATGAACCCCCGGGGCCGTGTAATCAGGATCCCATCCGCGCCTCGACTGTCCAGGGGGGGGGGGGGGGGGGGGCCCACACTAAACCGGGTGCAACATTAGGGAGTATAGGGCTTAGAGGCTTGTAGGGCTTGTAGGGCTTTACAGGGTTTATAGGGTTGAGCGATGAGGACGGGTTGAGGGATTGACGAGTTTGGTGTCGAGGCCAGGGTTTACAGTAGCGTTTCGGGGTTTTTGTGTTCAGGCTCTTCAGGTGCAACTAGGGTTTAGGGTTTAGGGTTTGGGGTTTAGGGCTTAGGGTTCAGGGTTTCGGGTTTTAGGGTCTTGGGGTTTTAGGGTTTTAGGGTTTTAGGGCTTCAGGGTTTTAGCAGGGTTTTAGGGTTTTAGGGTTCCAAATCCTACCATCGGTCTCCGCGATTTCCGCGGCATGCTCGTCCCTTGTGTGTTGGGGGGATGGGTGCAGGGTTCAGGGCTTAAGGACTTATAGGGCTAAAACCCTAAACCCTAAACCCTAAATCGGAGGGGGTTTAGGGCTTGGCCGGGCTTAGGATTGTTTTTAGTTGTCTGGCTTGTTAAGGGCTTTAGGACTTATAGGTCTTGAGGCAAGTTGTTGTTTTGTTTTAGGCTTTTGGGCTTTGGGCTTTTGGGCTTTTGGGCTTTTGGGCTTTTGGGCTTTTGGGCTTTTGGGCTTTTGGGCTTTTGGGCTTTTGGGCTTTTGGGCTTTTGGGCTTTTGGCTTTTGGGCTCTAGGGTTTAGGGTTTAGCGTTTAGGGTTTAGGGTCTAGGGTTTAGGGCTTAGGGCTTAGGGCTTAACTACGCATCATGACTTAAGCGACGGGAACAGCTGCACTGCTTCATACACTTCTTATGGGATACAGCCCCGCGGCCAGGATTCACTTCGCGGCCCAGTACACCCGCGACCCCAGCAACGTGTTGGGGGCCGGCTTGTGGAACGACATGTTCCGGTGAGTGTCAAACTGAACCTACTTCCTGACCACCACTGAGGACCTTCCCAAGATGGATGGGCGTCTTGTTCTTGCGGAGTTTGAAAGCTATTGGAGTTGGGTTCCCTGAAGCAGAACGCCGAACAGCCTAAACCAGAAAACCCTACACCCCCAAGACCCAAGAAACCCTAAACTCTAACCCTAAACCCTAAACCCTAAACCCTAAGACCCCGCCCCCCCTCCAGCGCTTGATCGGGCACAGGGCGGCGCTTGCCTCGATCCCAGTGAGGACGAGGCCAGGGGACTCCTTCCCTAAAAGGCTCTGAAACCTCAATGGTTTAGAGTTTGGGGTTTAGTGTTTAGGGTTTAGGGTTTAGGAGTTTACCCTAAACCCTCATAACCCTCAAAACCCTCAACACGCTAAGCCCAAAAAACCCTATGTAAACTCTAAACCTTTGTCCAACCCTAAACCCTAAACCCTAAACCACCCCAGGCCACAAATCTTTGAGGACTTAGGAACCCTCAATGGCTTCCAGGGTTGGGGACTTAGGGACTTGGGGGGCTTTTGGGCTTTTTGGGTTTAGGGTTTAGGGTTTAGGGTTTAGGGTCTAGGACTTGGGGTTTAGGGGTCTAGGGGTTAAGGAGGACTGAGGGTTTTAGGGCTTGGTGGTTGTGGTTTAGGACTTGGGGTTTAGGGTTTCCGGCTTGATCAGCTGGGTGCTTCTCATAACTCAGGGCCTCTTCATTTTCTTACGAGCATGTAATCAGGAGGCTCGTGTTACTACAGGGACTCCCCAGAAACCGGACTTCAGTGAGCTTGTTGTTGACGTCGTGCCTTATGGGTAGTTGTATGTATAGCCAACTATAGCCCAAGTATGGGTTGTGTTTCGGGATTCTGTCGAGCCTTTTCATAGTTTGTATTTTGGGGTTTGCCCAACACCCATGAACCGTCATCCAAGGGTCTCGGACTGTTTTTGGGTTTAGGGTCTAGGGTTTTAAGGTTTAGGTTTTACAAAGTTTTAGAGTTTCCCCTAAACCCTAAACCCTAAACCCTAAACCCCAAAACCTAAACCCTAAACTAGGTCGGAAGGAGTGTCTGGGATTGCCGGCTTTCCTCTTCACAGCTTTCGGGAAAGAAGTTTGTGCAAGCTTCTTTCTTCGAAAGGAGGCTGGCACTGTTGGGGTTTAGGGCTTGGGGTTTAGGGTGTAGGCTTAGGGTTTAGGGTTTAGGGTTTAGGGTTTAGGGTTTAGGGTTTAGGGTTTAGGGTCAACACAAGGCACCACATGCCCTACAAGGACGCCTTCGACTGCGTGCACGTTGGCGTCGGCAGGGGCTCCTGGGAGAGCTCCCTAACACTTGGAGGTTCGTGGTACTTAGTAACTCATTCTTACTGTACTTATCGGGTTTAGGGTTTAGGGTTTAGGGTTTAGGGTTTAGGGTTTAGGGTTTAGGGTTTAGGGTAACTGTACTTCGAACTGTACTTATAGCCATATTGGGGCTCTTAAAGGGGCTTATAAGCGGGTTGTAAGTACAGCTATAATTAGTTACTAAGTACCATGAACCTCCCAACAGGGCTGAGAAGGTTGAGGGCCTTTAGGACTTTTGTTTGGGTTTAGGGTTTAGGGTTTAAGAGTTCTCTGAACATGTTTGCATAGCCTCGGCACGTGCACAGGGCCGACGCTTGTGCGTCCGTAACATTTCAAGATCAAAGGGGCAGGAGCATAGCATGGACGCCTATCACTTTGCGGGCGCTGCTGGGGGACTGCTGCTTGGAATCTGGCTTAAGACTGGGAACCGTGAGCCCGACGTTCGGCCTTGCATCTGTCATTGTGCTGTGAGTTCACCTGAACGATCGACTGGGGAGGGGGCCTGGCTTTGGCTAGTCTGCTTTGGGCTGGTCGGGCTGCTTGTCACCAACTTGGCCTTGGCATTCAGGGTTTCATTTCGGAAGGACGAGGCTGGACTTCAGGAGTTCACGTTCTCCGTGAAAGGGAAGTCTGGAAAAGGCGTCTACGGCGTCCCGAAGGGCCTACAGATCACCGAGCAGTGAGGCTAGCGCGCGATGCAGACCGGCGAGATTGTCTATCTTCGGTATCATGGAGACCCCGGCGTGATCCACACGCGCTTATTGGTGGGGCAAGTGCAGGGGGATGAATGGGTGATCGTGACGCCCGACCATGATGTGTATGTGGAAGAGCTCGCCCGGCACAACCCTGACATTCAGTACATGTGGCACTCACCCGATGGCAGGCTCGCCCGAGGGGTGCCCCGCAACCAGGTCTATGGATTTGCGCCCATGACTGCGGCCCAGTATGCTGCCGTGATGCGTGCTGGGAGGGCAGAGTTTGATGCCGAGATCGCAAGGCGCGGACTTGGAGCAGTGGCTGCGGTCGGAGCTGCGCCGATGGGTGGTGGAGGTGGCGCTGTGGAGGCCGCTCCAGTCGCTGCGGCGGCGGCAGTGGCTCAGCCTGTGGCCGCCGTTCCGGCTCAGCCGGGCAACGCTGCCATTGGAAACGCAGGGCCAGGTGCTAGAGATCTCACAGGGCGAGGCTTGGTTTGGGTTGCGGCCGAAGGGACCTCAACAACAGTGTTTGGTGAGGTCGTGGCCGGTGTAGTGGCGCCAGCGGTGGAAGGTGCCAAGACAGTCCATCGGATGGCTGACGGCAGTGACCTCTTCTGTATGTGCATTAGTGAGACTAGCCGCCAGACGTTCAATGGGCGACCGGCTGCTTGCGATGGGCGCATCCTGGCCCGAGGCTTCAACACTGTGGGGCAGCCTGAGAGGCCTCTGTCAGAGGTGGTGGCTGCCTCGAGAGAAGTTGAGATGGGTTGGAAGATAGCCGGCCCGCGGACAGCCTTATGGTGCTTGAACTATCTGATGACGGAGGGCCTTGGCTTCGAGGCCCACCATGAACGGTTCAGGCAGCTTTGCCGCATCGACGCAGGCGGCTGGGGTGTCCAGGAGCACTTTCAGACCAGTATGTTCCTTCGGCAGCTGATTCAGGTCGACCAAGTGGATGCTTGCAACTGCTACGGCGTGGAGCTCATGTTCAGACGGGTACAGACAATCGAGTACGCTCATTCAGAAAGGGCCCGGGAGATCGAGTCGAAGACGGTCGGTGGCAAGCTCAGTTTGGAGGAGCAGTACACCTTCGGCTCCTTGGTCCGTCAAGCCGGGACCTTGATGATCGCACCATCCTTGCTGGAGCACGTCAAGCAGGAGGTTGAGCGCGACGCGCAGCTCTCAAAGAATCTCAGAAAAGCCCGCGAGGAGCGGGACTTGGCGAAGAAGAAGGGTGGTGGAAACCCCTGAGCTGGGCTTCGCCTGCGGCTGTTGGGAGTGCGTCGCAGGCGGCTTTAAGAACTCCCTTTTTGTCTGGCGACGCACGTCGCGTCCCCAGAGACCTTTTTCCTTTGCCGGTGCCCGGAGTCTCATGTGATGGCGGCTTTGGCGGGTCAAGGCGTGTCAAGCGCCGCTTGGAACGGAGATGGCACCAGGACACCATGGTTGCTGAGTGCGTTCGCGGGCTCAATGCTCTGTATAGTGGAGACAAGTTTGGCAAGGCGAACTCGCAGTGCCAGACACCTTCGCGGGCACAGCTGGCTGCCTTGGAACACATTCGAAATTCAGTGCACCTTTTGGGGGCTCCCGAACAGGAGCTCAGTGGTCGAGAGGCGCTTTGGCAGCTTCAGGCCTTCGACGGGTACGGGGAGGACCAAGCCCCGCCACTCGTCGCCTCGTACAGCCCAGCCTTTTGAGTTTGCCCACCGGGGAGGTGCCGCCTGTGCCTCTTCACACGCTACTCGGAGGCGATGGGATGAAAATTGTTGAGGACTTCATCTCAACTCGGCTTTTGCAGAAGAATGAGGCCCTGCGCAATTTGCGGAGGACTGGTGTGGTGAAGTGTTATTCGGACCCGCGACTTTTGGAGGCCCGTGTGTACAAGAGCTTTGTGCGGCGCCTTTGGGACGGTGGCCTCGTCGAGTTCACGTCCGAGGAGCCCACCGAGAAGGTTGAAGTCTTCTTTGTGCGGAAGAAGGACGGACGGCTTCGGATGGTGGTTGATTGCAGGAGGTCGAACGAATGGTTTGCCCCCCCGGACAAAGTCAATTTGGCGACGGCTGAGGTCCTTAGCCGCATTGATTTGGGTGGCACCGACTGTGACCTCTACATCTCCACTGCCGATTTGAAGGACGCCTTTTACCACTTTGAGCTCCCCCTGCAGCTACGACCGTACTTCGGTATGCGGCCCTTGTCAGCTGGCGACCTCGGCATCACCTCGCTGGGCGGTAAAGCTATTAGAGCATCTTCTCTAGTTTTCCCGCGCCTGAAGGTGCTGCCGATGGGCTGGACACACGCCTTATGGTGGTGCCAAAACATCCACCAGCGGATCGTGTCAGGTGTTGGAGCCACAGCTGACAAGTGCCTCGAGGACCGTGCTTCGGTACCGTCCCCGGAGTGCATGCATTTAGAGTACGTCGACAATTTCGTGTGCATTGGCACTGCCAAAGAAGAAGTCGAGGCACTTGCGGCTGCAGGGGTACAGGCTTTGAGGGACAAGGGCTTGGTGGTACACGAGGTTGAGAGCGGCGAGGGGAACATCAAGGTTTTGGGTTGGTGTTTTCAAGGCAAGAAGCTCCGGCCTTTGTCCCACCGGGTGTGGCGCCTCATAGCCGCTATTCGTTTTTTGCTGGACCGTGGCACATGCAGTGGCAAACAGCTCGAAAAGGTGCTCGGGCATGCAACTTTCATTGCCCTAGGCCGCCGTGAAGCCTTAGCTGTATTTGGTGAGTCGTACTCTTTTGTTCGTACTCACTATGAGCAGAACCACCGTATATGGCCTAGCGTGAGGAGAGAGCTTATGATCTGGACCTCAATCGCGCCCTTGCTTTGGAGAGATTTGGGGATCCCTTGGGCCTCAGAGGTCGCTGCGGTCGATGCCTCCACGTGGGGCTTGGGCGCCGTTGTGGCCGACTTTGACGAAGCAGAGGTTCGCCAACTAGGGAAGTACTCGGAGCGATGGAGGTTTGAGATCCCGGAGTTTCGCTGTCCTCGTGCAAGTGCGTTCGGTACTGCCTTTGCTGATGATTCTGACGAGGCTCGCAGCCTTCAGTGGGCCCACTCCGGGGACAACAATGCCAAGGCGCGGCCCGTGCCCCTTTCGGTCGTAGAGGGCAAGCTGCTTTCTGATAGGTTTGTGCCGGTCGCATCCAGCCAAGTCGATCGTAAGTGGCGTGTGGTGGGACGGCACAAATGGAAGCGACAGGAGGGCATGCCAGTGTTAGAAGGAAGGGCCTCGTTGTTTGCTGTGAAGCGCTTGCTGCGCAAAGAGACTTCCTTTCACATGCGGCATCTCATCCTGTCGGATTCTACCGCTGCCATCTGCGCTCTAGACCGTGGCAGGGGGCGCTCTTTCGGAATGCGCCGTGTGACTCAACAGCTGGCGAGCCTGTGCCTGTGCTCGGGCATCAGTGTCCAGTTCAGGTTCATCCCCTCAGAGTGGAATCCTGCCGACGCGGTCTCCAGAGGCTCCCTCTTCCCGTCGAGCGCTGTACATGGTGGTGCACAGGTTCATCCAGCTCCCCAAAGCTGCAGCCAAGACCGCACTGCGGCCGCCGGCCAGCCGTGTGAACCGGCCCGCAGGCCAAAGCCTGCAGCAGGTCAAGAAGACTCGCGCGAAGGCCAGGGTCAAAATCAGGCAGCAATTCGGGACGTTGGCGGAGGCATCAGTGAGCCGTGGATGCAGAGAGCGGTACAGCAAGCTGTGGAGGAGGATGTGCACAGCGGCGGGGTTAACCATGACCGAGAAGTACACCGCGAGCGACCTCGACCTCCCGGCGAGCCAAGTTTTGGAGGACTTGTTCGACGAGGGGGAGGATTTGAGCCAGGGCCAGTACCTCATTGCGGCGATCCAGTTCTACCAGCCCCATCTCCGTGGTGGCCGAGGCGGGTTGGACCTGGCAAAGCAAACTCTCGCAGGGTGGCGACGACTGGACCCGCCAAAGTCGAGGCTGCCGTTACCCTGGGAAGTCGTGTGCTTGATGGCTATGGAAGCCATCACTCGCAACATGATCGAGGTGGCCCTTTATATATTACTCGCCTTTGTGACCTACCTGAGACCGGGCGAGGTAGCCAAACTGCTGGTGGGTGGCTTGGTGCCCCCCGTTGGGGTGGTCAAAGCATGGTCGCTGATCCTTCACCCGCTGGAGCTCGAAACGCCTTCGAAGACGGGGGAGTTCGACGAGACAGTGTTGTTCGACCTTCCTCAGATTGTGTGGATCGCCGAGCAGACCTTCCGTCTGCTCAAGGCCGGCCACCGATGCGCCTCGGAGCCGCTGTTCTCGGTGAGCCTAGAGACAGTGAGAAGCTTCATGCGCGATGTCGGAAGCCGGTTCGGCATGGAAGTTGCAGTGGGCGATCCGCATCCTTATCGTCTTCGTCATGGCGGTCCGAGCCGGGATGTTCTGCTTGGCTTTCGAACCTTGCAGGAAATCCAAAAACGGGGGAGGTGGCGCAGTTTCAGCAGTGTGCGAAGGTACGAGAAAGGTGGTCGCGTCACACAGCAGATGCAAGCCCTCTCCAAGGCGACGCGGCAAAAGGCGCTGGAGGCAAGCCAAAACATCCAGTCCGTGGTGTGTGGCCTGCCCTGAATGTCCCCCTTGGGCCGGCAGTGCGGGTGTACATCGAGATCTTCTCTGGCCGTGGCGAACTTGGAAAAGCTCTGGCGCAACAATGTGGAGGTGTCGTCATGTTGTGGGATCTCCGGCTCGGCAGCCAGTATGATCTTCGTCATCCGGCACGCCGCGCGATGATCTGTGGGTGGATAAGAGCCGGGCGGATTTCCGGTGTTCATTTGGGCACCCCGTGCGAAAGCTTCACCCGGGCTCGTGATGCCCCGCCTGGTCCTTGCCCGCTCCGAAGCAATTTGCAGCCATTGGGACTCCGTGGTCGTTGCCCTGCCGATCAAGTCAAAGTTGAGCTGGGCAATTTGTGGATGCGCTTCTCTGTCAAAGTTGTGCTCTTGTGCTGGAAGTTGCGGCTTAGCGCGACTCTGGAAAATCCCCTTACCTCCCGTTTCTGGAGGTGCCCCCCTGTGCAGCAATTGCTACGCCGGCCACATGTGGGCCGCTGGACAACCCATTACTGTGCATGGGGAAAGCCCTTCAAAAAACCCACCGCTTTTCTGGGGGTCCACATCGACCTGTCTGTCCTCGAACTACACAAGTGCCGTGGCAAGCGCATATGTGACTTCACTTTGCGACCGCATGTGCCGCTGCAGGGGCGCACAGCAGCAGGACAATGGCGCACCAAGTGGGCTGAGCCCTATCCCACCCGCATGTGTGCTGCGATTGCCAAAGCATTTTACAATGCTGAAGTGGCAGTCCTAGCGCGGAAGTTTGAGCAATGCTATGCTCGGTCGTGACCAGATGGCAAGCAAATATGGGGGCCCTGTGCATGCAAGTCTGCGGATGCTTCTTCAGTTGGAACAACATGGTGGTTAATGGGGCTTGCAAATATGGGCACTTCTTTTGCGACGGCATTTTCTCCCGGCAACCCTTAGGGCTAATGCTGGGCGATGCCGGCTCGCAGACGCAAAGCTTGATGTACCATCTGGCCTGAAAAGAGTGCCTTCGCGGTGCATAAGAGTTCTCTGAACATGTTTGCATAGCCTCGGCACGTGCACAGGGCCGACGCTTGTGCGTCCGTAACATTTCAAGATCACCCTCCCTACCCTCCCCGAAGTGGGGGCACTTCTTTTGCGACGGCATTTTCTCCCGGCAACCCTTAGGGCTAATGCTGGGCGATGCCGGCTCGCAGACGCAAAGCTTGATGTACCATCTGGCCTGAAAAGAGTGCCTTCGCGGTGCAAATTCATGCCGAAGCAACCACTTGTAGGGTTTAGGGTTTAGGGTTTAGGGTTTAGGGTTTAGGGTTTAGGGTTTAGGGACGCCCTGGTTCTTAGCAGGGAATGAGGCAATTTGGGTCCTATCTATACATGGATTTTAGGGTACCTCATTCCCTCAATCCCCACTAAGAACCAGCCAGAACAGGGCTGAGAAGGTTGAGGGCTTTAGGGTTTTTGCTTTGGGCTCAGGGCTCAGTTGTTGTTTAGCCCTAAACCCTAAACCCGAGACCCTAAATCCTAAACCCTAAACCCTAAACCTAGCGCGAAGCCCTACACCCTGACCCCTATACCATATACCCTAAACCCGGGACCCTTAGGTTGTTTTTCCGGGTCGGGCAGCATGGACGGTTAATGGCTTACAGCTCGTTGCTTTTGCTTGGCCACTTATTTTGACCCACCCTGACACTTGGAACGACAGACCCTATAAAGCCCAAGCCCTGTTAACTATCGGAACACCTGAAGGGGCCGAATGTTTAGGGACGCCAAAGTTGGGGTTTAGGGTCTACGGGCTCACAACCTAAACAACCGTAAAACCCTGAACCCTCAACCCCAGATGTGTACCAAACTAGTCGTACCCCCAGTACCTCCACCCCACCCAAAACCCGAAACCCGAAACCCTAACACCTCCCCCCCCCCCCCCACCCCCACCCCAAAAAAACAAACTTCTATAATCCCATTGCTAGGCTTTCCTGGATGCTGGAAGTTGTCCTAAACCCCTTAGGGTTTAGGTTTGACCCTAAATCCTAAACCCTAAAGCCCTGTAAACCTAAACCCTAAAGCCCTAAACCCTAGACCCTGAAGCCCCTAGACCCTAAATTTAGGGTTGAGGGTTGGGGCCTTTGAGGCATGCAGGTCGGGATTCAGACTTGTGGATCCAAGTCTGAGGGTTTGAGGTTTAGGGCTCAGGTCGCGCCAACGCAGGGTTTCCCCAAGCCCTAGACCCTACACCTAAACCCCTCAAGGACGGGTTCTTTTGGGGTGTCTCCTCTGCTTTCGGAGAGTTTTGGGGTTTGCCGTTTAGGATTCAGGGTTTACAGCGTTGAGGGTTTCGGGCTCAGTGGTCTACAGGGTTTAGGGTTTAGGGTTTAGGATTCAGGGTTTACCAGGTTGAGGGATTAGGGCTTAGTGGTTTACGGGGTTGTGGGGTTTAGTTTAGGATGTACTCGGCAGACCCTGGGGATACGTAACATTTCCCCCTGTTGGTTTTAAGAAGATCATATGTAAGAGTATTTTAAGGGCGGCCTTAGAAGGGCCATCCTAGTTTAGGGTTTATAAGGTTACAGTTACCCTAAACCCTAAAGCCTAAGGCCTAAGGCCTCAGGCCTAAACCCTAAACCCTAAACCCTAAACCCTAAACCCTAAGCCCTAGTTTAGCAGTAGCGGCTTAGGGTTTATAAGGTTACAGTTAAAGCAAGCTTCCACAGGTGATGTGGTGGAGTTGCCAAATGGCACACTCTGGATGTACTACTTTGGGGGCGACTCGCACAGCAAGACCTGACTGAGTCATGTTGGAAGTTGGGGGTGTTAGGCTTTACCTGGACCCCCAAAGTATGTAAAAAAACAGCCCAAAACCCTGAAAAGGGCTATTATTTTACACAATTTGGGGGTTGAGGTAGGGTTGAGGGCTCAGGGTATTCTCGAATCGTGTTTGCAGCCCATCTCGGGCAGGACCCCCACACGCATCTCGTGAAAGCGCAAAAGAATCCTGGAAACAACCGCTGCAATAATTGCTGCGTGGGCTTTGAACCCCAAACCCTGAACAAGGTGACGGACGGGTCCTTTGTGTCCTTTGCGGCATCATAGTCCTTTAAGCTCGGTCTGTGGTACCGAAGTACCCGGAGAGCCCTAAACCTGAATTCAGGAATATGCCTTAAGTCATATGGAGATCCCTAACATGATGTCAGGCATATTCCCCCTGGTTCTTAGTAGGGAATGAGGGAATGAGGGCCCTATATATACCCTTTAAGGGATTATATAGGGCCCTCATTCAATCATTGCCTACGAAGAACCAGGCAAATTAAGGGGGTCTTGGGCTCTTCGGGTACAGGTTCGTGCTTCGGGTTTAGGGTCCCCCGAGGTGTCCGGGGGCCGGGGACGAGGAGTGTTCCCCCACATATATAGGGTTCAGGGTTCAGGGTTCAGGGTTCAGGGTTTAGGGTTTAGGGTTTTCTGCTGTGATCTTTTTTGTTCGGGGGAGGGGGGGGGGGGAGGATTGGGGTCGGGCCATGGCTGCATTTGGCAAATCAAATTACAAAGCCTTCGAGGCTACTCTGTCACAACAGACCCCAATGCCCCAGACCCTCAACGGCTCGAGGGATTAGGGTTTTAGGGTTTTAGGGTTTTAGGGTTTTAGGGTTTTAGGGCCTTAGGGTTTTAGGGTTTTAGGGTTTTAGGGTTTTAGGGTTTTAGGGTTTCAGGGTTTTAGGGTTTTAGGGTTTTAGGGTTTGTTTCTCGGGCCCCTGGGCACGTTGCATTGTGTAACTTAGGTTAGAGGTCCCTGAACTAGTTCGTGGAGTGAGGGGGGATATTCCCCTTTTGGTACCATCGGTCCGAGCCTAAAACCCTCCTCCTTCTTTAAGGGTTTAGGGTTTAGGGTTTAGGGTTTTCACAACCCAGGCGGTCTCGACGGGGTCCCACGACCGGGCATCCGCATGCAGATCGGCCATGCCTCCCAGATGGTTGCGCGGGTAGCGTTGTAACTAGATTGTGTTTTTGTCTTGTTCTGCTCAGCCCCCTGGTTCTTAGTAGGGAATGAGGGAATTAGGGCCCCCATATGTACCTACCCTTTAAGGGACTACATAGGGTACCTCATTCCCTCATTCTCTACTAAGAACCAGCCAGTCATTAGCTGCGCTTTCTTGGCATAGGCTACGCACTTGGCTTTATCTGTTTGGTTGTTCATTGACGTTGTCAGGGAGGTGCCCCCTACTTGATGGTGGGGTTTAGGCTTCAAGGGTTTGGGGTTTAAAGCCCAAACTCAACCCCCAATTAAACCCTAAGCTCTAAACCTGTAGGTTTTAGGGTTTCAAAGACTCATTGGCATGATCTTTAGTGTTTGGTGTTGCAGGTTGGGTTTGGAGGCGGGGCCCCTGGCTGGGCCGAATAGGGCCTTCGAGTTTAGGGTTTCAGGGTCTCAGGGTTACAGGGTTTAGGGTTTCACTGTTTCAGCTTTTGGTTTTGGCTTGAGATTTTGGCGTTTAGGGTTTCAACGGGGTTCTACTTTTGGACCCTTCGCAGAACTATCCAAGAAGCCCCGTGGGGAACGCCAGGCACGTGAGCGGATGAAAGGAACCCTTTAGGGGTACCGCCTTAGCTAGGGACAGTTTCAAAGTTCCAAGGTAGGTACTGTTGTAAGGGGTATGCGGGTATGCAAAGATACTGAAGGTTATATACGGGCGATATACTAGGTGTACAGTGCATCCCTGCCCTGGAGGACCTTTTTCTAGGCTGAACCCTAAACACCTCCGCCCCCCACCCACCCACCCACCCCCAACCCCCTTGTGGATGTACGGTCTGCATGTATACGAAAGGTGCCCGGAAGAGCCTAGGGCAAGGTCCAGGCGCTACGCTGAGGTGACCCCGCCACACCTTAAGGCCCTAAACCTCTGTGACCTGTAACTTCAACCCAAAACCCCAACACGTAGGCGACAGCCCGTCGCAAAGTACCCCCTAAACCCCTAAACCCCAAACCCCAAACCCCAAACCCCAAACCCCAAACCCCAAACCCCAAACCCCAAACCCCAAACCCCAAACCCCAAACCCTAAGCCCTAAACCCTAAACCCTAAACCCTAAACCCTAAACCCTAAACCCTAAACCCTAAGCAGCCCAAGCTCCGACCAGAGGCCTGGCTACATCAGAGGATGGCCTCACCTGGCGCCGTCACGGGGCACCGGTGCCACAACGGCTTAGGGTTTAGGGTTTAGGGTTTAGGGTTTAGGGTTTAGGGTTTAGGGTTTAGGGTTTAGGGTTTAGGGTTTGGGGTTTAGGGTTTGGGGTTTAGGTCTTAGGAGCCCGAAACCTAGCTCACTGCCCATGCTGCCTGTTGCGGCGATAGCAAGCCCACCATGGTACTCAACACAACATGAGCTCTGGAAGGCTCTATAAACCCTAAACCCTAAGCCATGAACCGAAAGCAACAAAGGCAGCAAAAGCCTAGCACCAGAAGCTCTAGGATCTGTCCTGGACTTAAGGTAGATTGGTGTTTATTGGTTGTCATGCGGGGTTGGGGGTTTAGGGTTCAGGCCTTAGGGTGTAGGGTTTAGGGCTTAGGGCTTAGGGTTTAGAGGCTTTGGCATCTGATACGGTGTAGGGTTATTAAAGTACGCCCCTTTCGACTCCGAGCGACACTGACACTAGATTACTAGAGAATGCGTCGTTCGATGGCGATGTGCTGGCCGACGTGTAGTTGCAGGGTTCTTAAGGGAGGGGTTTATGGCCCTAAACCCTAAACCCTAAACCCTAACCCTAAACCCTACACCCTAAACCCTAGTTCAAGGGGGGTATGAAACCCAAGGTTCCCTAATACTCCCTACTCCCTAAGGCTTCCTAAGCTTCCCTAAGGCCCGAGGCCCTTGAACCCCCCTCCCTTAAGAACCTTATGACTAGTAATTGCTTAAGAACCCCTGACAAAATAACAACAAACAGAAAATATTCTTCCTTATAAGGGTAACATAGGAATTATGTTTTCTGTATGGGTTCTTAAGCAAATGGTAGAAAATGTAGTGGTGTAGGACAGCGCAAGGTTCGGTTCTTGACCGCGAGAAACTTGTTTAAGCATTGCTGTTTAGGGTTTTAGGGTTTAGGGCGCAGGGTTTAGGGTTCAGGTCAAGGGATGAAGACTTGTACCCCTAAGGCTGTACCCTTTGAAGCTTCCCCTTCATGTCCTCCTACTATGGCCCCTGTCTTCTTTTAGGGGGATCCTTCAAAAGGTCCCCCAGAACCCAGGGTATATACAACCTTAATTAAGGGTCCAGGTAGAACCCCTAGATTAGGGTCCTTCTTTCAGGGCAGCACGTAGGCTTTTCCTTGCCTGGTGAGCAAGGTGCTAGCCCCTGGCGATCCGGGCGACTTTGACGAGACCTTCGTGGAGACTCGATTATTCGGACCTTCCTGACAGCCAATGTTCACCCTACAACCTATAACCCCCAAAACCCGTTAAATCTGAAGGGCGTGAGCATGAGCACTTGGAGTAGGTTGAGTGTAGATCATCTCAGCTGTGCCCATAGGGTTTGGCTTTTTTGTTGTTTATCACGCGTGAACTTGTATTAATAACAAACCCGTGTGTTACAAGACCCCATTAAAGGACCCATGAGTGAAGAATCCTAGTGAATGAAATGAACGTACCAAGAGCTCCCATCCAAGACTCGTGAATTGACATCCCACCCATGGGAGTCCTTAACCACCTTCTCCATGTGTCCTTCAATCTCTTGTTCCACAGCCTTGTTCACCCTGTAAACCACCTATCCCAGCAGTAAGCCCACATGAGTCTTTCTACCAGACAGGAACTCCACAGCCTAAACCCTAAACCCTAGACCCTAAACCCTAAACCCTAAACCCTAAACTAACCCTAAACCCCAAACCCTAGACCCTAAACGCTCTTGACAAGGAACCCACCCTCGGGACCCCAACATCAGGTTCACGTGTTCTCCACACCCGGTATATTAGCATCAGGATGCGTGATTTTCTTTGTACGAACCAAGGAACGTAGTGCTCGCTCTTTCTTCGCTCACACTCTCATTACAGTAAATTGGCAAGTATTAGTATTTCGGGCCGCATGTGTTTATCTTATTGGGCACTAAACCTACACCACAAACCCTAAACGCCCTAATCCTGAACCCCTAAACCCTAAAACCTAAGCCACAAACCCTGAACCCAAAACCAAACCCCAAACGCTAAACCCAAGGACTCCAATACCCCTTAATTCAGGAATCTTCCTCAGATCATAATGAGGTTCCGAATATGGTTTAAGCTGAGAACCCAAGGCCTAAACCCCCAAACCCCTAAACCCTAAACCTCAAACCCCAAACCAAGGCCTGGCCGCGAGTTCTTCCACCCTGGGACACGAAGAACGTGCCGGGCATCGTGGAGGGTCAGTGGTATCTTGTCCTCATGTAGGGTTTAGGGCTTAGGGTTTAGGGTTTAGGGTTGAGGGTTTAGGGTTTAGGGTTTAGGGCGTCTCGACGCGCAGCGGCAGAAATGGCGCCCCACACAGACCCAGGTGTGTGGGGGGGGGGAGGGCGGCATGTCACGCGAAGGCATGTTTTTTCAATGTAGCCCAACAATTTTCATTGGTGCTGGGGTTTCTTTCTCCTCCCTGCTGCGAGCTTTCACAGGCCACCGCCCAAACCATTGCCTTTTGGGGTTCAGGGCTGCCACCCTAAACCCTCAACCCTAAACCCTAAGCCCTAAACCCTCAATTCCCACCAACTTCAAACCTGCAAGCTGGGCGTGGGCGAGACCGTGCACTTTGAGGCGCAGCGCAGCCCTCAGGGCTGTGGGCCAGTAAAGGTTCTGGCCTGCCGGGTATAGTTCTGGGTCCAGACGGCCTAAGAAGGCCCAGTTAGGGTTTATAGGGTTCAGGGTTTAGGGTTTAGCTTGTTTTTACGTGTTTGTATGCTTCTTGGGGGCATAAAAGTCCTGGGTGCGCGCCTCTCTTGTTGCAGGCTGGAAGGATTTCATGGTTTTGTGCCTCTCTAGTCGGTTTTAGCTGGGGCTTGCGGGTTCGGGGTGGTACAGTTCTTCTTTCGGGGCTCCTTTTTAGTTAGGCGCCGTACTAGATAGCCCTAAACACTAAACTAGGACCCAAGAAGGGACCCTAGTTTGGAGAGCTTCTCCAATGTAAGCAACTTCCCACACGTAAGCATCTTATACTCCCAGATCTATTTGAGGCATGGCCGAGCTCTGAATCGCCACGCATGAAGTTTTACGTTAGGGTTGCGATGGTTTGGGGTGTACTCGGAGGTTCATGGGTCCTTATAACTTATAACCCCTATTATAAATTTGCTTCTAACCTGCTTAGGGGACTTGGGGGGGCTTATAAAAACAGTTATAGCTGGGGTTATAAGTGCCCTGAACCTCCAAGTAGGGCTTCGGGTTTCGGGTTCCGGGTTCAAGGTTTACGGACTTTTGACTTGCCACAAAACGTCAGCCATGCAAGCAGTGATGGGGTCATGAAGAACATCCCCATAAGTCCGTCTGTAGAAATCCAAAAACCACCCAAAGCATTCAACCCTAAGACCTAACCCTTATGAGGTCACGTGCGAAGTAAACAAAGGGCCCCCAAAATGAGGCATGCCTTCAGAACCATCGTTTGCCACTTGTGTTTTTTTTGCGGGGCGAACCAGTTTAGTGATTGAAGGGCAAACGCGTTCTCAGCACACTTCGCATGGGATTTTGTGTTTCGTGTCTGAACTCCCGAAGTTCCGAATAATCACATGAAGCCATGAGAGTCTGTAGTTGGTGGGTACAGTATGTTGGATAGGATACTGAACGTCCTGAATTCTATTCCGGAGACGAATTAAAAACCCTGGCCTTTCCTCACAGCTAGTCATCTGCCGAAAACTAGATGTCGCGATCCGTCTCGATCGATTGCTCTGCCCGCCTTTACTCCGCCACTGCCGAAGCAAGACATGCGCCAGGCGGAAGCGTCTTGCGTGAAGCGAAATGCAGTTCGGCCTTCTGTTGCTTGTAAAGCACGCGTCACATTGCAGCTGACGGAGCACACGCAGGTAGCATTTTTGTGCGGCAGCGACGATTGCAACTCCTGGCTTCCACGAACCCCCAGTTGTTGCGATGTCACTTGTTCTTGATGTGAGCTGGCAGGCCGATGTCTCAGGTTTGACTGGTCTACGAACGTAACCCTATTCATGAGGCAATAGCTGCATCCGCTTCAAGAATCCACGGCAGTGGGCTTAAGTTGTCCTCGAACGAAATTCTGATCCATTGCCATTAGTGCTCTACTCAGGAAACGCAGATGTGGCCATGGTTTTGCCAGTGTGTAAGCAAGGCAAAGTGATTTTTGTTGATAAGGTTCGGATGGTTGATGCGCGTGAGATGTTCAAGAACACCCTCTTAGCCATAGTACATATTCAATTGATTTAAACTGTTATCATCATCACCTCAGGTTTGGCGGATGCACATGCGCAGTTTTCTGGTTACATAGTCCCACGGCCAGGCCAAGCATGTGCAACTAAATGCTGTCAACGACGCTGATTTACAGAGCTAATGCTGCTGCTGCAAGGTATATGTCATACCACACGGCGTCCTTCAAGGAAGGAATCCAGTGGTCTGCAGGAGCTCGGGTTACACAGATTCTGCCAGCTTAATTATATGCTGACACCTCTGCTCTCTATCTTGACGCCCCAGCTGGCGCCGGACGGCGTTTTCAAGCATGGGACTTGATTGATAGTAATAGTTGCCAGCGCTTGCAGAATCAGGAGCCGCCTTCAGCAACGATGGTATCTCGTGGACGAAGGAAGAGGGGGGGGGAAGAGGAGGGCGTGGTTTTTGCAGTGAGGCGGTAGAGTTTCTCGCGTTCGCCGGAGACGGTCTATGTAATGCATGGATGGCCATGTTGTTGCTACGCCATATATGTGCACCTTTTGCGAAAGTTTAGAAACATGTTCAACTTCTCACGCGTGCTCCAAAGTCGCTGATGTGTAAGACATTGCAAAAGCCCCCAGCTTCGGAAAGACAATGTCTAGCGGTGCGTCTGTGTAGTGATTAATTTGCGTGATGTGGGACTGGGTAGGCTTGTGAAGGAGGGCCACAAGATTACCATGTCATCGGAAGTTAAGCTGTCGAAAGTTGTTTGAGGTGTTATCGTGCCGCGTTTGTTCCTCAAGTTTTGCGCAGCCTTACAAAAGAATGAGCGTGGGTTGTGTCAACCTATAAACGCAGAACCCTCAGCACTGGTCCAGATGATTGTCTTTAGCCTTTGCCAGCCTGATGCATGGGTTCAAGCTCTTAGTCGCCACATCGGAATAGAATCGCAATTGAGGTCCGCCCCAAACCTTAACGCCTAAACACTACACACTCTAAACCCTAAACCCTCTCGAAAGTTGAGGGCCGACCTGGGGCTGCATCTTGCCACCGGCTGCTGCAGAAAATCCTTCAGGGTTTAGGGTTTAAACCGATATAGAGCTCTGAAGCCCCAAACCTTAAACCCTTAGGCCCTAAGCCCAAACCCCTAACCCCTAACCCCTAACCCTTAATCCCTAACCCCTAACCCCTAACCGCGAGGTTCCCAAACCGGTCCTGGAAGGGGGTGGCGGTGGAGCCTGGGACGAGAAAGGGGCATCTTGGCCGCGCGGGCCAAGGTTTACGATTTAGGGTTGAGGGTTAGGGTTTACAGTTTAGGGTTTAGGAGCTTTAGGGGGGTGTAGGGTTTTGGGGTGTGGGGTTTCAGGGTTTTTTCTCTGGGTTTTAAGGTTTTAGGGCTTTAGCGCTCAGGTGTTTAGAATTTCCTTTTTAGAGCTTCAGGCTGTTTTTTTGAGCTTCAGGGTTTAGGGTCTAGGGTGGCCTGCAGAGTGCTCGGGTTTAGGGCGTCAGGCTGTTGCATATTGCCGCAGTGCTCAGCGCGCTTCAGGTTGGCTTGAGTGAGACTTTGGGTTCAGGGCTTCGGGTTTAGAGGTTTAGGGTTTAGGGTTGTTGTAGGGTTTCATGGTCGGGCTCCAGGTCTCAGGCGCAGGTTTCTCAGGCGCCCGCAGCACTGTCGAACTGATCGATTGCAGAGGCTGAAGTCCGACTGTGCGACAAGCTCAAGCCAGCCGGTTTAGGGTTTCGGGTTCAGGGTTTAGGGTTTAGGATTTAGGGTTTAGGGTTTAGGGTTTAGGGTTTGGAGCCGAGGGCTCAGGGTTGAGGGTTTAGGGACTTAGGGATTCAGGTTTGAGGTTTAGGGTTCATCATCATGAGTCAAGCTCCCTAATCTGGTATCGAACACCCCACACACCCTTTGGATCGGGATGCCTAGCAGAAAATCTCAAAAAGAAACGTCAAAAAAAAACATCAGAAACAGTCTTAAGATCATGAGAGAGAAAGAGATAGGGGGAATATAAAAAGGAACGGCAGAAAGAGAGAGCGAGAGGGATGCTGAGAGCGAGAAAGAAGGAAAGAAATCAAGAAACAAGGAAAAATAAGGACAGAAAGAAAGAAAGCAAGAAAGAAGAAGGAGATAGAGAGAGAGAATACCAGGAAACAAAGAAAGAAAGTACGAACAAAATAAAGCAAGAGAGAGGAGAGAGAGAGAGAGAGTGTCTCCATCTTTTCGTGGCAAGAGTTGGTTTTTGAGGTTTAATAGGAAGACCTCGATTTCATGACATTTCATTACTCAATGTTTAATAGGAAACCGTTTTCTCTATTTGCGTAGGAAAACCTCTATCTTCCTTGTGTTTTTGAAAGAGGGTTTGTTGGGAGGCAGTTGCAACCGCATAATGGGCCTAATGGGTTTCAAAAAAAACTTGTGCGGTTACAAAATCAGGCAATGGGTTTCAAAAAGGTTCATATGCTTTGAAGCAAGCGGCAGTTTCTGGAGGCTGAGCTCTTGATCTTGGGTGCGCTGCAAGCTAGACGGGTGGGAAGAATATCTCGCGTGCCCGCTACATGGATCTCCTGATGCACGCGAGGGCATATATTGCAGTTCGTTGGAGTGAAGAACCGTCGGGGTCCAGGAAAAATGCGTTACTGAGCATGCTACTCCCTGGTCCAACGCAGCCCCCGGTGTGTTTCAAGGAGCTCGTTTGGGTGGGGAGATGTCCTCCTCGTTATGCTCTGGACAGACGGGCTGGCAGTCTGCGACTCAGGCGGGATAACTTAGTCAAAACACTTCAATTTCACCAACACAAACATAAAGTTCAGAGAGAGAACGCGACAAGGGTGACAATAAAGGAGAAACGAAAGAAGGAGAGAGCGAGAGGGAGAGGCAGAGCGAGAAAGAAAGAAATACAGAAAGAATGAATGAAAAGAAAGAAGTAATGAGCAAAGAGAGGGAGAGAGAGAGAGAGAGAGAGCGAAAGAGCGAGAGAGAGAGAGAGAGTGAGAGAGAGCGCGCGAGAAAGAAACCAGGAAAGAAAGGGCGAGAGAGAGAGAGAGAAACCAGGAAAGAAAGAAAGAAATAAATAAACAAGGAGAAAGGGACAGAAATCAAGGAGGACATCAAGACATAAGGACGTAGAGAAAGAAAGGTAGAAACCAAGATAGACCGTACGAAAGAGATTTAAAGAAAGAAAGACAGAAGGCAAGTTTAGATACTCTGCCGCCAGATCGGGGGCTAGAATTAGGGGGGGGGAAGAATCAGGGGGAGGGATTCAGCCGTACAAGCTTGCTTCGAGGCATAACATGAATCTTGTCGAAACGCATCCTGGAAGCATTGTGCCTGCACACAGGAGGGGCCTCACTTGAATTGCTCGTTTTAGGGCCGAAACCCTAGACCCCTAGACCCTACGGGTTTAGGGCCTTAAAGGCTGAGGGGTTTGAGGGTTCAGGATCTCACTGGCCTCCAGACAGCCCCTAAAAGCCACCCCAAACCCTAAACCCTAAACCCTGCTCCCTAAACCGCAAACCCTAAACCCTAAACCCTAAACCCATACCCATTAGGTTGGCGTGCGTCACCCGGTCCTGCGGCCAGACGGACGCCTGGTCATGGTCTATGAGGCTGGGTTAAGAGCTGCACTTGCGGTTTCGGGTTTGCGGTTTGGGGTTTTGAGTTTGGGGTTTCGAGGTCAGGGTTTAGGGTTTATGTAGGTTATCAAGTAAAAAACTACCAAAAAGAGTTCAGGATTGAGGGTGTAGGGTTTGAAGCAGCACTAAACCCTTAACCACATGAGGGTTTAGGGTTTAGGGATGGGGGTCCTGGGGCATCGAAACTTTCCCGAAGGAGCTAGTTTATAGGCAGATCCTTTCAAATAGTTACTATTACATAGTTCTACCTACGATTCGATAGAAGCTAAACCCCTCAACCCTAAACCCTAAACCTCAAACCCTAAACCCTAAACCCTTTACCCTTTACCCTAAACCTTCCCAAACCCTAAACCCCTCAAACCCTCCAACCAGGCCGTGGATTCTGCCATGGACCACGCCATGGGGCTGGCAGATCCTCTGGCTTTTTAGGGTTTAGGGTTTAGGGTTCAGGGTTTTGAGCCCTAAACCCTGACCCTGAACCCTAAACAAGTGAACTCCTGTGTTCTCCCGAACCCTTTAACTATATGTAGAGCTTAGAGTTTAGTTCAGGGTTTAGGGTTAGGGTTCAGGGTTTAGGGCTTAAGGCTTTAGGGATCTTCCTTGGGGGTTTAGGGTTTCGGGGTTAAGGGTTCCGGGTGTGGTTGTAGGGTTTGGGGGAGCGACAGGGGAGTCTTCAGATACATCCCCGTAGTTCTGATGCCCTCAAGCCCAAACCCTAAACACTAAACCCTACCCTAAACCCGAAACCCTAAACTCTAAACCCTAACACTAAACCCCAAACCCTAATCCCCTTAAGCCCGGTATGCCTACCCTTTTGGTTTCGGGTTTGGGGCTTACCGTTTGGGTCGTTTACAGTCTTTTTTGGTTTTTGTCTTTAGGGTTTTTTGGGGTAGTTGATTTGTTGTAGGGTTTTGGCAGAAACCTAAGTCTTAGGGCTTAGAGCTCAGGATTGAGCATCTCAAGTCCAAGCATTCACTAGTCAACCAGCCCTTCAAGTGATTTTGAAATACCCACACACCCATTGGATCCAACAACGGTACTTTGTGGTTCTTTACTGTAACCTTAGATCCTTAGCCTGGTTGGGTGTATTGGGTTTCTTAATAAGGCAGCTAATTTTGTTAACGACCCTCCTAAGTGCAGCCAAGGGTATGAGAAAGAGAGAGGGGGAGTGTTTTTTCTTCACATCTTAAGCCAGCCTTCCTTTCAACCCACGGATAATTTGGTGTAATGCCCCATGAAACTTGGGAATTCCCGATCAATTTGGGTGATGCCCGGCAGTTTTTGGGTAATGCCCGGTGGATGTGGGTAATGCCCGATCATTTTTGGGCAATGCCTGCTAGGACCTTCATTTAAATATTTATGTGACAGAGAGGTTTAGAGTTTAGGGTTTAGGGTTTAGGGTTTAGGGTTTAGGGCAAAGGTGGGGGGGGGGGGCCTTCGGATGGTGGTTGGGGGCAATCCCTATGTGCGTTATGGTGTTTTCGTCTTGGCCTCCGAGAGGGTTTAGGGTTTAGGGTTTAAGGTTTAGGGTTCAGGGTTTAGGGTTCAGGGTTCAGGGTTTAGGGTTTATAGGGTTTAGGTTTAGGGTTTAGACCCCAACTCCCCAAACAGCAAGGAGAGCTCCGATGGCATCACCTGGACGAAGGTGCGACAATAGGGTTGCGGGTTTAGGGTTTAGGGTTTAGGGTTTAGGGTTTAGGGTTTAGTGTTTAGGGTTTAGATATACGAGGAGCCAGAGTAGGCCTTTATTTCCTTTTTCTTCAGGGTTTAGGTTCGCTTGTGAGCCCCCTTGAAACCAAAAAGGGCACCCTTTTCATTCCTAGGTTAATCCTGGGTCTAGCATTCCTACGGCCTAAACCCCGAAACCTGAAACCCTATGATGGTAGATACATAGATCGTCTAGGGAACCTAGTTCATAGGTTGCCTGCTCAGTGCTCCTTAGTAGGGAACTTAGGTTCCAGGGTTTAAGGTTTAGTGTTTGCAGCTGAGGGCTCAAAACTTCCCAAGGGGTTCCACAGGGGAAGACAAGGATTTAGGGCTTAGGGTTTAGGGTTTAGGGATGTACCTATTTCTTGCTCCCTCCGAGGGCCTGTTCGACTTCTTGGAACCCCCCGAACACACAGGGACCAAAAGGGTGATGCGGCGTTTACGGGTTTAGGGTTTAGGGTTTAGGGTTTAGGAAGACTCTGGGCTCAGGGAGAAAGGCTGCAAAACATGCGCTTGTTCCCGTTTGTTAGGCATCAAGGCCCTTGAATGAATCTGAACCGGCCTGCCCTTATGTCCAAGGTTCCATATGGGCACTTCCCAAAATAAGGGGGTGCTCCTCATGCCCACAAATGCGTAAAACTTTTGAGAACTAATGGGTACACCCATGCTCGGATAAAGCCGAAACCCTAAACCCTAAGCCCCCGTCTGTTAACCTAGAAACCTAGGAAAAGGGCCGCCGTAGATGGGGCTGGCTCACCCCCAATATAGACCCCCAAATAGTAGGCCTCCCTTTCTTTAAAAGGACCCCAAACAGGTACCCTAAACCCTGCACCCTACAGCCTACACCCTACACCTCAAACCCTAAACCCTAAACCCTAAACCCTAAACCCTAAACCCTAAACCCTAAACCCTAAACCCTAAACCCTAAACCCTAAACCCTCCCAAACGCCCTGAAGGTCCAGTTTCCCGAGGCGGAGCGAGGCGGGCCAATCCTCAAGAAGGCAGGGTTGAGGTTTAGGGTTTCGGGTTTCGGGTCTTCGGGAACTCCCGAACACCCCGTTTAGGGTTTGGGGTTTAGGGTTTTAGGGTTTAGGGTTTGGGGTTTAGGGTTTTAGGGTTTAGGGTTTGGGGTTTAGGGTTTTAGGGTTTAGGGTTTAGGGCTGGGGGTAACCCTGAACCCTCAGTTCCCAGTCTATCCCAGTCTCAAGCTCGGTTGCGTGGCGTTGCCCTTGGGTTCAGTGTCTCCAGGCATCGGCATGCGGGCTTCACTCAGAAAAGCCTCCAACCTCTCGGCGTTTGGGGGATAGGGCTTTGTGTCTTCAGGGCTTTGGGGTGAGGGCTTAGGGGTTTGGCGTTTAGGGTTTAGGGTTTGGGGCTTGGGGTTGAGCCAGCATACTGCTTCAGGCTTAGTTTGGTATTGGGCTTCTCAGCTCGGCTAGATAGGCTGCACGGCAGCATTGAAAAGGAACCTTCGGGCTGGTTGGGCCAAAGATGGGCTGAGCTATTGTATTTCCGGGTTTAGGGTTTAGGGTTTAGGGTTTAGGGTTCAGGGTTCAGGGTTTAGGGTTTTGGGTTTTGGGTTTCGGGGCATTCAACTTCGGAAGCCTCCGAAGACCTGACCTCCTGAATCACCGGCCACTCCGCACGAAGGGGGCAGCCGACGCGTGGGACAGCCGTGTCGTTGGCACACCGCCCCTGGGCTAGAGTAGCCCTAAACCCTAAACCCTAAACCCTAAACCCTAAACCCTAAATTTAAGCCCTAAACCCTAAACCCTAAACCCATGAGTCCCAAATACCTGACCCCCCAAACCCTGAACCCTAAAAGGCTTAAACCCCGAACCCTAGTAAGGCTGAAGGCATTCCCTACTTGCGAAAGGTTCAGAACTTACGGCTTAGGGCTTAGGGCTTAGGGCTTTAGGGCTTTAGGGCTTTAGGGCTTTAGGGCTTTAGGGCTTTAGGGCTTTAGGGTTTGGGGCTTTGGGGCTTTAGGGCTTTAGGGTTTAGGGTTTAGGGTTTAGGGCTTAGGGTTTAGGGTTTGGGGTTCCGGTTCAGGACTTAGGTCTCCTCTTCCTATAACTCCAGGGTTTGCAGGCTTTAAGCATTTAAGTTTCCCTGCAAGCCCTCAGTTTTAAGGCCCACAGGGGTTGAGGGTTTAGGGTTCAGGGTTTAGGGTTTAGGGATTTAGGGTTGCACTCAGGTACGTTGTGCCTCCCGTGGGGCCTGAAGATCCCTGGAGGCTTTACTACGTCGGCGAGGCTGGGGCACTTGCGTGTCGGTTCGGCAGTTTAGGGTTTAGGGTTTGGGGTTTAGGGTTTAGGATTTAGGGTTTAGGGTTTAGGGTTTAGGCTAAACCCTCAACCCTAAACTCGATACCCTAAACCTTGGCCTGGTAACCTCACCAAAAAGGTTCCAGGACTCACAGAAAGCCGAAACCCTAAACCCCAAACCCCAAACCCCAAACCCTAAACCCTAAACCCTAAACCCTAAACCCTAAACCCTAAACCCTAAACCCTAAACCCTAAACCCTAAACCCTAAACCCTAAACCCTAAACCCTAAACCCTAAACCCTAAACCCTAAACCCTAAACCCTAAACCCTAAACCCTAAACCCTAAACCCTAAACCCTAAACCCTAAACCCTAAACCCTAAACCCTAAACCCTAAACCCTAAACCCTAAAAACCCCAAACCCTAAACCCTAAACCCTAATTCAAAAGCCCAAACATCTCTCCCACCGTGCCTCTAAGGCGACCGAGAAGCCTGGACTTTCCGTGGGCCACATGTCGGCATGCTGGGGTTTCGGGCTTAGGGCTCTAGGGCATAGGGTTTAGGGTTTAGCTTTAGGGCTTAGGGCCTCTAGGCTCTAGGGTTTAGGGTTTAGGGTCCAGGGTTTAGGGCTGAGGGTTTAGGGTTTAGGGTTTAGGCGTTGTTGTTGCTGGGCGTCGGTGTGTACACTTGCTGTAGTTGCTACACTGTTCAGGAGAGCAGGTCTTGGGGTTCATCGTTTTTGGGGCAAGGGTTTGTCGGTTTTCGGGTTCACCTGTGTTTACGAACAGCCTAAAACCCCTAACCCTACACCCCAAACCCCAAACCCTAAACCCTAAAACCCCAAACCCTAAACCCTAAACCCTAAAACCCCAAACCCCAAACCCTAAACCCTAAACCCTAAACTTGGCGTTTAGTTTCGTGTCTGCGGTTGAAGGCTTGGGGCCTGTGAGCTGCAAGAAAGTCAGGGGATGAAGACTCGTACCCCTAAGGTTGCACCCCTAGAGGTTCCCCTTAATGTACTTCTGGGTTTAGGGTTTAGGGTTTAGGGGTTAGGGGTTAGGGTTTAGGGCAGTTTAGGGTTTGAGGGTTTCGGGCTTAGGGTTTAGGGTTTCGGGTTTAGGGCTCCTAATATGGCCCTGATTATTTAACGGGATCCTTAAAAAAGCTCCCGGCCCCCCCCCCTCCCCCCCCCACCCCCGCCCCCCCCAAAAGAAAAAGAAAACAACAGGGTACAACCTTGGGGGTCCAAAGCAGAACCTCTAGATTTTGGGGTTTGGGGTTTGGGGTTTGGACTCGGACCCCGAGTCGACCCTACTCCCTGTTAGGGTTTAGGTTCCCTTACAAGGTTCTTGAAGCCAAAAAGGGCAGCCTTTTTTGTTCCTAGGTTGCTCTTGGGCCTGGTACCTTCAACGTGAGAATGTGTCGAAATCACTTGGTTAGGTTTGGGGTGTAAGGTTTGGGGTCACCGCACTCACCCTGAAGCTTGCCAGTCATGCCCTGAACCCTAAACCCTAAACCCTAAACCCTAAACCCTAAACCCTAAACCCTAAACCCTAAACCCCTCAACATCCCTAAGGCCTCAGCACGCAGCAGCCTTAAACTTACTGAGCCAAAAGTTGAACTTGAGAGTGGTTTTGCGCTTTAGGGTTTAGGGTTTAGGGTTTGGGGTCTAGGGTTTAGGGTTTAGGGCTCAGGGCTTAGGGGTTTAGGGCTTAGGACTTGGTGGTTTAGGGCTTCGTGTGGAGGATTGAGGGTTTAGGGCTTGATTTATGGGGTAGGAACAGCCATGGTACAGTTTTGCTGCGCTTTCGTGTTCTTTCTCTCTTCTTGATTTTCTGGTATTCCCTGGCTGTGGGAGAAGCAGGTAGACAACCCTAAGGCCTAAACCCTAAACCCTAAACCCTAAACCCTAAACCCTAAACCCTAAACCCTAAACCCTAAACCCTAAACCTGAAGAAAGCGCTTTAGAACGCAGGCCTTGCGGAAAGCTTCGACGAGCGGCTGCAAGTTTGGCGGAAGCGGCGCACTCCGCCTCAGCGTAAGTTGGATTTAGGGTTTAGGGTTTAGGGTTCAGGGTTTAGGGTTTAGGGTTTAGGATTTGGGGTTTAGGGTTGAGCGTTCAGGGTTTAGGGTGTAGGGGTGGGTTTAGGGTTATATAATTGTGTGAACCTTCGACTCTGAATCTTGGTTCCTTCTTGGGGTGGGTTTAGGGCCTAAGGTCCTGATATGATGTATGGTAGGCGCAGCATGCGAAGAAAATGATGCAGCCTTAAGAACATAAACCAAAAAGAAGATGATGCAGCCCTAAAAGCAGAAGCCACAGTTGAAAGTCTATAGGCAGAGTCACCTGCAACTCTGTGCAACTCTGTTTACCTACAGCTCAGGAGCACTTCCCGAACCCTCCGGGCTTTGCCCAGAGCAGTCTACACTTCCAACACCCGAAAGCCCGAACTTTAAACCCGGTTAACAGTGTTCCGTATCTCGAATTCTGAGCCCATAGGTCCTCTGTAAGTGTCACAACTCTTACAGCCCATGAACTTGTAAAGGACAGGTGTCCCGGTGGCGGGGTTAGGATGTAGGGTTTAGGGAAGGCAACATCACATAAGTGTCGCACGTGTTCGGGCCGGTTGTTGAGGGTTAAGAGGCTTATGGATGAGAACAACTAGGCTAGGACTCAAACCCTAAACCTTAAACATGACTCCCTCAACCGTTGACCGTGTAGGGGTTCACCCCTATGGTTTATAGGTTGGCCCTATTCACCCTGCAAGGCCATCTTGAGTCGCTCTACCTAAGAAGCCAGAAGAGAGCCCTTCTCATGGATTTCCCTGCGCCCTCCCTCTATACTACCCCCCCGCTCCCCCCGCCCGAGGTTCCCTCCCTAAAATGTTAAATAGCCTTACTTAGGCTTCATTCTCCCTTAAATGGCCTTTTTTTTTTTGTGGGGGGGGGGGGGGGAACTGTAGAGGGTTTAGTATAGAGAAGAAAAGTAGGGATTTCATTGTAGGTAAGTCCGTGGACATAGAGGGTCGTCGTTTTGTTTTTGCTGGGGGCTTTGTGGGGTTGTACGGTTGACGGATGTATGCCGAACCCTAGACCCTAGACCCTAGACCCTAAACCCTAACCCCTAAACCCTAAACCCTAACCCTAAACCCCCGGAAAGGCACGCATGGTACGTCAGAGGTCCCAAATTCTTTAGTGTCAGAGCTGCCACTTGGCTGCGATTCCCGGTGGCACAAGAGGCCCTATAAACTCCAAACCCCTCAGAGGTTACCAGGTTTAGGGTTTAGGGTTTAGGGTTTAGGGTTTAGGGTCTAGGGTCTAGGGTCTAGGGTTTAGGGTTGGAAGTTTGGGACACCCACTGCAGGTGCGGATGCCGACAGTTTGCCAAAGTCGAACAACGAAGGCTTATACAGCCGACCCTGGGCCAGAATTGCCTTGTTGCGGGGGTTTGGGGGGGTTTAGAGGGTTTACGGTTTAGGGGGGTCTAGGGGTTTAGGGTGATTTCGGGGGGGGTTTAGGGTTGTTTAGGGTTATTTAGGGTTTAGGGTTTAGGGTGGTTTAGGGTTTAGGATGTATGTTGTTTGTTGAAGCTCCACAAACTCTGTACAGTTTTGGACTTTGGGGGCTGGATTTACCGTTCAGGGTTCACAGCTACACCAACAGGATCGCACACCATACCTTCGAGACTGGGCCCTTATTTGGGTTTTGGGTGTAGGGTTTCGAGTTTCTAGGACTCAGAGTATAGCCCTTCTTTGGCTTTTTTTGGGGTTTAGGTTGCTTTATGGAGGGGGAGCCATCCATCCTGGTATTAGAAGGATTTAGGGTTTAGGGTTTAGGGTTTAGGGTTCAGGATGTTCACGCATGTGTTGCGGCAGCGCATAGGTGCCCCAATGTGTCGTGACATGGGATCCCTGATTCGTCAGCCTTTCTAACCCGGAACCCTAAACCCTAAACCCTAAAAAAACCTTAACCCCCTGAATTAACTTCATTTTCGCTCCAAGCAAACCTTCGCGGCATGGTAGCTGAGGTGTGTGGAAGAAGGGCGAGCGCTCTCAAACACGCGACGTCTCTTCTGCCGCTGGTGATCTCGATTTAGGTGACTAGCCGTCTCGCGAACCAAAAACGCACGCCAGCTCTTAGTTAGAGGGGTTTGTAGCTAACCCTAAACCCTAAACCCTAAACCCTAAACCCTGAACCCTGAACCCTGAACCCTGAACCCTGAACCCTGAACCCTGAACCCTATACCCTATACCCTAAGCCCTAAGAGTCGACACTGAATGGCCACGGATGCCCTGAACAGAGGACCTTAAGCCACTTAAACTGCGTACTGCCGTATAGGTTTAGGGTTTAGGGTTTAGGGTTTAGGGTTTAGGGTTTAGGGTTTAAGGTTTAGGGTTTAGGGTTTAGGGTTTAGGGTTTAGGGTTTAGGGCATCCTGGACACACCCCAGTATGTACCCTCATGCCGAAGCTAAAACCGAACCCCAAGATCCTAGAGAGAACCCTAAGCCCTCAACTTGAAGCCCCTGGGGTTTAGGGTTTAGGGTTTAGGGTTTGGGGTTTAGGGTTTAGGGTTTAGGGTTTAGGGTTTAGGGTTTAGGGTTTAGGGTTTAGGGTTTAGGACCCCCCTCCCTCCCCCCCCCAACATAGACCACCAAATAGTAGGACCGGATCCCTGAGGATCCCAAGAAGGTACCCTAATTTCGTAAACCCCGAGGGGGTTTCCGAAATTAGGGGTACCCTTTTTGGGGTTCCTTTCAGGGGATTCTATGCATTTGGGGGTAAAAACAAGGAATACCCCCCCCCCCCCCCCATTTTGGGAAATACCTATATACTGTGCATGTCTATGAGTCAGAGTCGGCCCTTCTTCCTCCGTTTTTGGGCGGTTTAGATTTCCCCTTATCAGCCCCTTGAAACCAAGAAGGGTACTTGCATTCCTTGGGGTACTCTTGGGTCTAGACTTGCCATGTGCTTCTACCTGCTAGCTGCCTGATCTTGGCCATCTTTGTCAGCCCGCCGCTTTGGGACTCTCAGTTGAGCTTGTAGCTTGGATTGTCAAGCGAACCAAAACCCAGAAGTCAAACGTTACCCCAGGACCCCGGACGGGTGCAACCGTACTGTAGCCCGCAGATGTGCGTGCGGCCATCGAAACGCCACGCCTGGCTATAGCTGTAGCCCCCTTAGGATGTTTTTTTTTGAGCTTGTTGATATTTTTTAGTTTAGCTTCATACTTGTGTTTATATAAACCCCAATGGAATATGGAAAATCGTGTTTTTTGTCAAGGGTCTACGGAAATTTATATAGGGGTTTGCAACAGGGTTTGTCCTGTCGTGCTCGCGCCTGCTGCGAGTCTTCTTGGTACCCGCTACTCCTGCCGCGAGGCCGGGGGCTTAGGATTTAGGGTTTAGGTTTAGGGTTTAGGGGTTTGCTAGAACCAATGGTGGGCTTGGCCAGCAATCAGGGCCGCCACTAACCCCCTGTCGCCCCACTATCCCACTATCCCTAAACCCTAAACCCCTGATTCCTCCGACCCCAACCTCCAACGCCAATGCCTAAACCCTGAACCGTGGAGAGAGAGAGAGAGAGAGTCTCAGAGAGAGCGAGAGATAGGGTTTAGGGCTTAGGGTTTAGGGTTTAGAGTTTAGGGTTTAGGCTTTAGGGTTTGGGGCTTAATTAGGGTTTACACCAGGTCGGCAGCGGATGATGTCGCCCAGGCACAGCTTCCATGCCTCCCCCCTGTTTGTGGGGCTTTAGGGTTTAGGGTTCAGGGTTTAGGGTTTAGGGTTTAGGGTCGGTAGGTTTGTGCTTGGCTCTTCTTCCGGGTTCCTGGTAGGGAATTAGGTGCCCTGTTTATCGTTGTTAAGGGTGATCTAGGGCCATATCGGAAAGCTTACATCGCAAGGCTAGGCAAAACCCACCTAAGCGGTGAAAATTGACAAAGAAGCCCTGAAAGGGTCATCCCTATACCCAATAAGGCCTAGGTAAACCCTATGCAAACCGTGAACCTGATGTAAACTTCATGTAAACCTCATGCAAGCCTTCTAACCCAAACCCTGAGCCCTAAACCCCAAACCCCAAACCCTGAGCCCTAAACCCTAGACCCTAAACCCTAAACCCCAAACCCCAAACCCTAAACCCTAAACCCCTTCGACCGCCAGCGACGGCAAGCGGGCTCCGGTCGTGGCTGCTGCGCTGGCAGTGCTGGCCGCCGCTGGGATCTCGGTGCAGAGTACCATATTTAGGGCCGGGGTTTTACGAAATAGGGTTTAGGGTTTTGGGTTTTGGGTTTAGGGTTTTGGGTTTTGGGTTTTCGGTTATGGGTTTAGGGTTGAGGGTTACCCCCAATATAGAGCCCCAAACAGTAGGATTCCTTTATAACCAGGACCCCAATAAGGTCACCCCAATGTCGGAAACCACCATAGAATCGGAGGGTTTATAAATGGTTCATAGGGTTGATAAAAGGTTTATATGGTTTACAATATGGTGGTTTCTAAATGGTTTATAGGAAAAGAATAGGTTTTCTCCATGGTTTACAGGAGGTACCGGGTTTAAAAGGTTCATCTGGTATAGAATAGGCTTGATACATGGTTTCTAAATGGTTGCTAGGGTTTATAGGGCTTGCTAGGGTTTATAGGGCTTGCAAGGCCTATAGGGCGTATCGTGCAGAGTTTACCAGATAGGGTTTACAGGGGTTGGCATAGTGATAAGTGTTTATAGTGCTTGCCCATAGGGTCCGTAGCATTTGCAGGTTTCACTGGGTACGTCCGTCTCCTAGCAACCCTGAACGTGCATGTTCGTCTGGGACTGCGGTGGGCCCAGCGGGTGTGCACTGCGAGAGCTCGCTTATTGATTCTGCCGAGCCCAAATGCAGTTGAACAGGTTGTGCGAGCATCTGGCAAAGTGGCAAAGTTACAGGCGACACGTGGCAGGAACACGTCGCCAGCTTGGAGCGGGAGTTGCAGGTCAAATCTGATTTCATAAGTTTCGCTACGTTCCGAAGGCTTCCACTAAACTCAAGTGAGCTCCGGAAAGAGGCTGCAAAAAAATGGAAGCGCGAATGCCTCCAGCCAGAGATCGAGAAGCACGAGGCCAGGTGGTTTGCTGCACAGCTCGCTGCGGGGACCCCCAGGGGTGTCGGTGCTTGGTGCCCGCTTCCAGTATCCCTGCAAGAGCTCGGCAAATGCCTTGCGTTGGGCGCCTTGGCTTACAACGCATGTTGCAGAGATGCATGGCAACTGAGCAATACCGGCGAGAGCTCTTGAATGGCGATGTTGCCTCCTGTCTCTCGGCCGAAGGAGACGAGGACCAATTGGCTAAGCAAATAAGATTCGTGGCCCTATGCGCTGTAGTGGCTGCTGCGCCAGTGCTCCCAGATCGTGCGCGCAGAGAAGCAAAATGCAAGTAACATGGAATCCCGGTGTCTTGGATCATAAGTCCAAACCCCCCGCTGGCCCGTAGACCTCCTGGGTGGTGGCGCTCGGAGGGGTTGACAAGCCGGGGCACGGCCTTTGCCGCGTCCTGTGCGGGCCCCGCAAGTGCAAAAACTTGTTGCGGCCCAGGTGCCGGCACAGGCACTCATAACTTCGCTCACAATCACAATCACAATCACATACACATAGGATGTATAGGAGCAAACAGGGCTTGTTGGTTTGTAGAAATCATGGGGGCTGCATCATTGTTTCCAGGGTTTATGGGGCTTTTCGGGCTTACAAGGTGTACATGGTTCACAAGCTCGAGGCCTGAATGCCCTCGATTTTGCTACTTGGAGGTCCAGGGTACTTCTAGCCCCAGTTATCATTGTACTTATAAGCCCCCTAAGTCCCTTTAAGTAGGTTATAAGTAGATTTTCTATTAGTAGTTATAAGTAGCCCATGAACCTCCAAGTAGGAGGCATGGGTAAGGCTTAGGGTTTAGCGCTCCGCTGGCCACGTCATGCTTTCAGGCTCGTAGGTTCATGTTGGGTCTTTGACCATGGCGATGCATCATGAATGAGCCCCCCCCCCCCACAGATTTCACCCAAAAGCTTCGACACAGAATGTCCCCAGCACTCCCAAAAGAGATTCTGCGAATTCTTGGGTTCTTGGGATTCTTGCAGGCAGATGTCACTGGGCTAAGGGAGGGCCCTGAACCCCTAAACCCTCAATCCCCAACAAAACCTCATAGGGCGGGAACAGCGACCGCATCCCATTCATTCCTCAAAGCCTAATCCTCTGGGGTTTTCGGGCTGAGGGTTTCTGGGGTCTGGGAACTTGAGATACGGCTTTAAGGGTTGTGTAGAGTTTAGGAGTCAGGGTTTCAGGGTTCAGGGTTTAGGACAACCAGACGTGTCTTTCGTAGGATCCCAAGAAGAAGAGCCTGATTGGGAAGGGCGAGTAATTCTTCTTTTGATCGTCTATCCATACAGTCCTAGAACCCCAAACCCGAGGCCCTAAGCCCTCCCAAATTGAGTCTCCGCCGCTTCTGGTTTCCTTTAAAGGGATTCTGAAGATTCCCTACTAAGAGCCAGTAGGCTCAGGTTTGAAACCCGTAAGCCCTGAGCCCTATTCACAGGTACTTATCAGGAAGGTTATGAGTACCCTAAATCATGTTATAAGTACAGCAACCCTAAACCCTAAACCCTAAACCCTAAACCCTAAACCCTAAACCCTAAACCCTAAACCCTAAACCCTAAACCCACCTATGAACCTCCTGAACCTCGAAGTAGAGTCTGCAATCAAAGTCGCGAGGCCGTCGCCACCTGGACGCTTCTGGGTAGGCGACCGCGCAGGGCGGCAAAAGGGGTGAGGGGTTTTGGGTTTTTCGCGTTCTGGGGTTTTTTTGGGGTTTCGGGTTTGGGGGTTTAGGGGTTCAGGGTTTGGGGTTTAGGGGTTAAGGGGTTTAGGGGTTTAGGGTTTAGGGGTTTAGGGGTTTAGTAGAGGTGTCGTTGGGGTTTAGTGTTTATAGCGTGCCGGCTGCACTTAAAGGAACCCCTAAAAGGGTTCAGAGGGCTGAGGGTCTGCCCTGAACCCTAACCCCCTGAGAGCCCAAGACCTTTCAGGGTTTAGGGTTTAGGGTTTAGGGTTTAGGGTTTAGGGTTTAGGGTTTAGGGCAGTCCCAAA